CCCCCCCCGCCGGTCCCCTTCCGAGTGCTTGCTGGAAACGCACCTCCGCTCGGCGCTTGCCTCCTCCGCCGCCGCCTTCTGCTGCCTGTGCTCGACCTCCATCTGCTCCTTGTGCAGCCGCTCGGCGTGGCGCAGACGTGCGCGAAGGGTCTCCGCCGCCGCCGCCTGCCTGTTATTGTTTTATATTTTTTCGCGCGTTTATCTCAGGCCAGGAAGGAAAAGTAAACGGCCAAATGAAGAAGGATAACAGAGTAAAGAGTAGAAGTCATAGAATCTTGTCAAAACCTCGACTTGGAACATAGTCGTGTCAAGCTTCCAATTGGGCTATAATATATAAAGAGGTCGTACAAAGCTGGATGGACTGAGAGACACCCTGGCCGTCGCAGCACTCCTTTCAACTACTATTGCCCAGAGATCGCGATCAAGGGTTAGCATGATTTCGTTCACTTCTTGCACTTGTTTGTTTCCATGTCAACATCCCCACGGCAAGCGAGCGAAGAAGGACGGCGTGTTTAACTTTCAGCATGTACGAATGGGTTCATCTAAGGCGGCAGCGTAGGAATCGGTTCATTTCACACACTACGTTGCTCCCAAATATCTTCATGATGCACACGGCAAGCGTGCGAAGAAGAAGAAGCACACCGACTCACCTGTCCAGCTCCTCCGCAGCGACCCCGACCCGCGCCTCCGCCACCGCCTGCGCCTGCGCCGCCGCCTCCGTCTCCTTCCGGAGCGACGCGGCCCGCTCCCTCGCGGCGCGCGCCTCGGCCCTCACCCGCGAGAAGGCGGCCTGGCTCTCCGCGTCTCGCCGGGCATGGTCGCGGTCCTTGGCGTCGAGCTGCCGGTGAAGCACTTGCAGGTCCCGGATGAACGACTCCCGCTCCTGCCTGAAGCACGTCTGCATCGTCAGCATGCTGGTCCCGTCACCGCCGGTGGCGGCGGCGGCGATACCGCTGGTGGGGGTTGTGCAACTATGTCTTGCTGCCGTGTGAGTGTTGCTGCTTCGGCCGTTTGGTCGTGTCTCTCCGTGCGCATCGCCAGCATGCAGTTGCTTGTGCTGCTTCTGCAGGCCTCTACTGGCGGTTCCGCACTCCCCGTCCCCTTGCTGAGTCTCCGCCGCCATTGCTCCCGCCACGCCACCGCCGGCGGCCCGCCTCGCGCTGCCACCGCTACTTCGAAAAGCCTCGCGATCAGCATTGAGGCCCCTGCTGGTTCCTGCCGGCGAGGAACGACACCTCACGACGCCCCCACTCCCCCCGAGAGCTGTACTCCTAGAAGACGCCGTCAGCGCTCCAATCCTCCTCCCTGTCGGCCGCAAGCGTGCCCGCCCTCGTACTCCAGCACCAGGCACTCCCTCTTGGTCTCCGCCGCCGCTGGCACGAGCTAGCGTCTCGCCATCAGACCCCGGCGCACTCTGCCGGCCTTCGGCTTCGTCGTCACCGTCGTCTTCCTCCTCCTCCTCGCAGGCAGCTCCGTGTCCGAGCTCGCCGCCCCTCCCTTCGAGTCTCAAGCGCTGCCGCTCCAGTATCCTGGTGGCGACCTCGCCCTTGGCGGGCAACAGGGGGTGGGACGGGGGAATTAAGGCAGCCACCCAGAAAAACAAAACGCATCCACGGGGTCACCCGACGTTTCAAGCGGGAAAGCAGCAACGTTGCGTGGAAGGTAGTTGGAAGAGATAAGCTTGCTGATTTTGTTGGGGGTCGAACGAGTGGGTGTGTGCCCTTTCATCGAGCACTGCTGTGCGGAACCGAACGAAGCTCCCTGTTCCCCGGGCAAAAATCTTCTGAGTCTTGGGGATTCTTTCTTTCGTACTACGTCAGTCCTCGAACGGCGGTTGGGTCCTAAACGCGGCATGTGCCTCACGAGAGCTGCTTAGATTGCGCAGGCTCCGCACATATCTCTCGCCGTCCGCCAAGATATGTATCATGCATGACAGGTTAGTGTCGCGCGATATACAACTTGCTGTAGCCCAGGGGGACAAGCAACCAAAACCAAGGCAAGGGAAGACGGGCAGCAACTGTTGGACATGGGGCTGGTTGCGACTCCTCACCTGGGTCAGCTTGGGTTGCCACTTAGCCCACGCCTGCAGCAGCACCAGCCTGCGCAGATGTCCCACGATGGCGTCCACCGCGGCCCCGAGGCGCACAGGGCCGGGAGCGGGTGCCTCCGGCCCAGGCCGCGATTGTCTCCTCCCGGACGGCTTCATTTTTTGCCCCGGCTGCATGGTGCTGCAGCTGCATTCACATATGGATGTCTGGTGATCGAAAAGGGGAAGAGAGCACGGATCGGCATGATGGTCAGGAGGCGCGCAGGGGGGAGAAGGAGGGTGCATTCATGTGCATGTGGTGCGGTGCGACGATCGAAAAGCAGGGATCAATCAGCACCACGAGAAGAGAGGAGAAGGTGTAAGAGAAGAAGACAGAGGGGGACTGCTTCCTCTCTGCTGTTGCTGCCGCAGAGACGGGGACTGGTATGTCCCCCAGCTTCGTCTAGGCAGGCAGCTGTTTTGGTACCGTTCCCTTGCCGGCTGCTCTTGAAACTGCTTTGTGTAGCCCTGGGTCTTGAGCCCGGCGTACAAAGGTGATTTACATCGCCACATACAGCAGTGCTGCACGAAAAAGTAAGGGAATATCGGTCCCAAGTGCTTGACTACATGCATCTCCCAAAACAAAACGCTATTGGTCGACCTTTTGCCTGAGCCTGAATGTTGGTTTGTCCCTTGTTTATCGTGAGCGGGCCGGTGCCTCTGCATGGCTGTAGCGTGGGAAGCTGCAGAGTCGAGACCCTTACCATTCATGGTACAATCATACCTTCGAACGTTGTGGTGAAAGAGATACTTTTCTGCAATAGTTGTCGGCACCTGGAGCTGGACAAAAGGCATGAGAGCAGAACTTACTCATCCGCACATCGTACATTCACTCCTTGTATCCCTTCGTGTTCTCCACCGGCGAAGGTCTACTACTGTAGGAGGTCGAGACCTCGCTGTCCAGCAATTCTTCATACAACACCGTAGTTAGGATATTTACATCCTACTGTGTACTTCAAGCTACTGTGTAGATAGTCATGATGCTCTTCGTACAGTACGACGTAGTACGTGGGGTACTACTGCTGTATTCCTGATCGACTGCGGGAACCGGGTGTACAGCAGTACAGCAGTCTACAGGGAGTCTGCTGTACATACAGTATTTAGTTTGAGCATCCAACAGCAGTGGCGTGGTAGTTTCGAACTTTGCTGATTGGATGCGGGCACCCACACGCAGTAGGCAGGAGAGAGTCAAAAGCAGGTGTGTCTCAGCAGTTTCTGCCTTTGTGCTCGCGTGCTTATGTGCTCTGCATGCTAATCAACGCGGATAGATTTGTGAACCTTTAGACCACAATGCAGTAATGCAGGGAGTGCTGGATGTACGTAGTCTATCTGTTGTAACGGCCTCCGCGCAAAACACCTCTTGTTTGAGAGAGAGACATATATCATGAAATCAACTCCTGGTAAAAGTGCAATGAGTACCCCTCACCTATGGCCAGCCTCATACTGCGCCCACATCGACTCGTGCACCACGCACCGTGTCCCGAGAATACGTCTCCTTTTGGGCTGTGGTGGTGACCTCTCTTTCCTCTTTCCTCTCGCCGATCCCGGGGTCTCAGATCTCCTCTTTCGGAAAGAGAACCTGAACGCTAAGGAGGAACGAACTCCGCCATTTTGACGACGCCCATCCCACCGCTTGGTGCGGTGGTTTGGGCAGCGCGAGCGAGAGAGGCACACGTGTGTGTCTCCGACAGGCCAACTTTCGAACGTACAGTATGGCACCCATTGTTGCCGATGCCACGGCCGCGGTGGTCATGGCGGCTGCCGTGCTGGTCTCATCATCTTCGACAGCAGTAGCAGCAACAGCAAGACAACCGGCACCGGACCGTGGAGCAGCTCAACACCACCGTCGACGTCCTGCTTCATCGTACCCAACGGCCGCCGCCGCCGCCGCCTCCACTGCCGCCGCCGCCGCGTCTCGGCCACTGGTCTTGGCGTGGGCTGGTTGGGATCGGAGACGAAGCAGCAACAGCCGGGACGAGGCAACCCTCAAAACAACAGCATTGCGGACTGCCGACGAGAGAACGGCGGTTGCCGACGCCGCTGACTCCCAGCGCGTGCTCGACAGCTCGTGGACGCAGGCGGCGTTCAGAGCGTTCCACGAGATGAGAGCGGGCCCGCCTCCTCCGTCCGAGACCAACGGCGGAGAGGAAGAGGGCCAGGACGAGGGAGGCGGTGGCGCGACGGACCTGTTGGCAGGCGTTCGACGCCTTGTCTCGAGGCCGCCCACAAGGTGCGGCAGGGGTTGTTGACGTTTTGAAAGATCCTGACTGCGCCGACAGGGGGGGGGGTGTGCAGAGCATCAAGATGGGTTACAACAGTACCACTGATGTTGAACATTCACAAGTAAGACTAGAGATATGAGTATATAAGTATGCATACTTGCTGCCCGTGCCGTGATTTCCTGCCCCGCTGTTCGCATTTTTTTGCGCAACCTATTTTGTTGAGTTATTCATGGTTCGTGCACTGGCGATGACAGCACACAGATGCCGGATCGCATGCCCTGTAGTCTGTGCTGCCGTACTCCTGATTGTGGTGCAGTACTACGGCTGTGCTCTTGCATGCATGGAGAGTACTCGTTCGGAAGGTTCATTTTGTGCGACCAGGTGTCAGCTATGCACCTCCTCCCTCCGCCCCAGCTGCTTGCACTTTCACCACTGAAATGTGGGATGTTTTCGCCTCTTGATCGGGTTTTGCCACTGGTGATGCCTCACACGATACTACTGCTGTCCCTCGTTTGTCCATCGGCATGATGAATCAACAATGCCACTGACGGTGGCGGCGGCGGTGGCGGCGACGACGGTGGAACGGAAAGGCCGGCAACGATGACAACAACAGCAGCGGATACACGGAAAGAAAGAACCGCCAAAACCTCGAGAAACTCGGCGGCGGGATCTTCGTCACCGCCGGCACGACGGGAGAAAGAGGACGGGGACGACGCAGGGCCATCAACAGAACCCCGCAAGCGCCCCCAATCCGAGCCGGCGTGCTGGCACATGCGAGGGCGGCTCACCAATACGGCCACCGGGCAAACCATCGCCCTCGTGGAAGGTGTCGAGCTGGCCAGGAGCCTGGCCTTCGAAACCGCCTCCTCAAGAAAATCCAGCAGAGGACCAAAGAGGCCGGCGGGCGGTGGCGGAAACGGCGCGGGCGGGGCGGTTGCCGGGGCGGAGGGGGAAGGGGAGCTGGAGGTCGACAAGGCGCTCAAGCCGGGAAGGTGGACGGCTTTCGGGGCCCTCGCCACCAGCAAGTTTTTCATGTACCAGGTGCGGCGCGGCCGAAATTCACACGTGCAACAACCGCCACCACGTTGGATGTGTGTACTGGTTTGCTCGGTGTGCGGCATCCAAAACTGCTGGAGCCCCGCTTGTGTGTGTTTCCGCTGCCGCACCACCGGTGTTTAGGAGGCTTGATGATGTCGACGTGAGTTTTTTGGGTTGTTGACGCCCTGTTTGGCAGGACATAATTTTGCAGGTTGTGGTAGATACCTATAGTGTTGCACGCTCGTGCCGGTTTCATGGGTTCGGGTGGGAAGATCAGCCGATTCCTTGAGCGCCACTTGCCCGACCTAGAAAAGCAAAATGGTCGCAAGGGCGTCGAGTTGTATAGGGGTCTCGATTAGTCACGGCAAGGATTGAGCAGAACTATTTAACTATGTACGCGTGGCACAACATTCTCCCATCAAGCGAACTCAACTTTCCCACTTCTCCCCAACGGCTTGTCTGTACGCCCGCTGTCTTCCTCGTCTATCATGTCCCCCTGCGCACATGTTTTTAGCCTATGGCGGCAGCGCACATATTTTTCGCCCTTCCTCCCGATACACATATGCTTCGCCCTTCCCCTCGATACGATAAAAAAGATTGTCACTCTCGCTGTTTTGGTCTTGCTCGCAAACGCGTAGGACCCGGCAACGGGGGAACCCATGGACCACTTCCGCAACACCCCGGTGGAAAAGAAGCAGGCGGTTCGGACGTACGAGCGCTTCTCGCAGGTGGTGTCTCACCTCCTGCAGCCCAACGGACGGGTGCTGGTGGTCAGCGAGTGGGGCGGCCGCTCCGTGAAGGTAAACCGATGCTAAAGCTAGTCCTTGAGCTCACCTGCCTCCTGATCTTGACGAAAGGTCGAGAAAACGATCTTTCGTGGTACCCCCTCTAGTCGTTGTACGGCAGTATGTGTCGTGTTTTTTTTCTGCCACCGACATCTCAGTGTGTCTCTCGACCATATGCCATGTCTGTAGCATGGGCACGGCGCCCTGCGCTCGCGCCCCAGTACTATTTTTCGCCGGGCGACATGTGTGCCGACGAATCCAGCGAAGAGAGCAATGATTGTGCCGAACGCATGGGCAGGATTGAATTGTTGGCCGGTCTACTCCACCGCGCCTCTTGAATATGGATGTTCCCGACCCTTCCTACGACAGTCGCCTGTTCCCGTTGCGGGCACGCGGTTGGTTGGGTCGCTCCGTAGCCAGCGCTACTACACCGCTGCGCGTCCCACTTTTGTGCATGAAGATCCCCGGTCCTCACGACGCGATATGTTCCCGTGCCCATACCCTTGTTTCGGTCCGCTCATCTAGGCGGAAACCGCCAACAACAACGGCGTGGAAGAAATCGAGGGGGGCCGTGGCGGTTGGTTTCCCGGCGGGGCCAGAGACCTCGGTATCGTCAATGACGAGCGGTCCCTGGCTCGCTCCTCATCGTCCCCCCCCCGCCGGGTCTTCAACCTCCACTTTTTTGTCGAGGCTCGAACTCCGAAGGAGGAGCGAGAGCTCAAGAGGTGGCAGGAACGGCCGGGGGCCCGGTGGATCGCGTTCGGGTCGCCCCCCCCCCGGGCTCACGGCTGCAAGGAGGTGTACAGCTACGTCACGGGGAGGGAACGGGAAGGGGGAAGAGGAGGCAACGAAAGAAAAGAAGAAGGGAAGAAGGACAGGCTGCCTTGGGCTTGGAACAGGAACAAGGCGGCGTCGGATGCGCGGGAGGGGGATGATGATGCCGAAGGTGTCGACGATGGTACCGTGGCACTAGCTTCGTCGTCGTCATCGTCGCCTCGGCTTGGTGGCGGCGGCGGCGCCGGAGGGCTGATGTCGTACACGCGTTACGGCGAGTGCCCGACCTGGTATGGGACCGGGCGCATGTGCGGGCTGGACGTGCAGGCCAGGCGGGTGGACTCGTTCGCCTCCCTGCCGGCCAAGCTGAGGGAGGAGGTGCTGAAGGTGGACCCCGAGTTCGAGGCGGGCCCCCCCGGGACGATGGGCGAAGTCAGACGGGCTGCAAGAGAGCAGCGGTTGGAAAGGGAGGAGGAGAGGAGGCGGAAGGGGAAGAGGTCGTTGCGGCGGCCCTTTGGGACGTGGGGTTCGTCTTCCTCTCCCGATGGAGAGCTGTAATATTCTGCCTCGTCGTGCTTTTTGCACAATTGTTTACGCATGCGTGCGTGGGCCAAGCGCAAGGAGGCTTAGGACAGGAAATAAAACGCGTGAAGCACGAAGTTTATTGCTGGGATATAGTTGTTCTGCTGTTGTTTTGTGTGCCAGCCGAAGGGGGAAATAGCTGGAGTGATAGATCGAGACTTTTCCTCGGTTTTAAAATGTTTGTCTCTTTGGCTCCCGTGGTGTGCGCTACGGGCTTTTCGCCGGAAACATGAGCGCGTTGTCTTTAGAGTAGTCGTAAGATTTTTCAAAACCGCCCTGCGTTTCTGTTCCGTAGGCATCATTAACCCTCTACTTTTTACGTCAAAATCTCATGACCGCGCTGAATGTAGCTGCTATGCTGACATTGGCAGCGCTCAGCCAACCGTGTGCTCAAGCGGATGGCACGCACGACGCGTCTCACGCCCGTCCCTCGGCTTCCACCGCAGGCACGAAGCGCGGGGAAAACGTCAGCTTTGTGTACGCTCACGTGGTCGGTGCAAGCCTGCTGGCAAACAATTGTACTCAAGCATCAAATGAACCCCACGATGGTGCGAAAGACGTCCTCTACCGTTAGTCGCACGAGCTTGTCCACCACCCTCGTCCAGCGGTCCTTTTCGTCCAACCTATCACTTCCACCAACGCAGGCAAGACTCTGGGACTCTCCTTCCACGCCAGAGTTGTCGACAAGGTCCGCGGTGGCAGTTCCGTTGCTCTCCTCGATCTCGTTCGCCGCCCCTGGTGCCCCGCCGATATCAATCCTTTTTGATCCTTCCATCTGTCCAGCCTCGAGATCTCCGTGGTCTCGGCCGCCACGGCGTCTCGCTTCGATGTCACCACTCGGCGCTGTGCAGACCCTCTGCTGGTGCGCTCGAAGCATCACCGGCAAGCAGCGTCGTCGCCACGCCCGGTCCTCCTTGGCCCGCGACAAGAGGGTGCGCGCCCGTCCGATTTCGTCGTCTTGCTCCAGGTGACACTGGTGATGCTCGGTCTCGGTGGCGTGGTGATGCTGGTCAAGCTCAAGGAGTTCGGAGGCCGTCCGTCCGTCGCCGCCAACGACCGTATCGTCGCCCCCCCATCGTAAGAGAAGGTCGACGACTGAACCCAACCCTCTCGGCCGATGCTGACACGCCAGGAGCAGAGGGGTTTGGGCGGTGCCGCTGTGGACTTGGTTGACGCTCGCCCCGCGCTGAAGGAGGGCGAGGATGGTTTCAAAGGGGCTGGAGGGGGAGGAGGAGGCCCTGGAAGCCGCCGCGTAGTGGAGAGGCGAACCCCCGTCCTTACGCTGCACGTTTATCTCGGCACCAGCATCGACGAGGGCGTGGACGGCCGATGCTCCCGAAGCGCAGTTAGCGGCGGCGTGGAGAGCGGTTGCACCCACCACGTCGTCACGCGAGTTAACGTCCACCCCGTGCTTTAGTAAAACGTTGATGATGTCTATGCTCCCTTTGCATGCGGCAAGAACGAGTGGTCTGAAGCTCGAACTGTCTTCTGGGGTGGCGCCTAGCGCGCCGGCGACCAGGAGAGCCTCCGTGGCAGCGACTCTGTCTTCGGCGATCGCGTGATGGAGCGGTCGGGCCCCGCGGTTATCGACAGCGTCCCTGTGTGCCCCGAAGGATAAAAGCGTGGTGAGAATGCCTACGTGCCCTCTAGAAGACGCGACATGGAGGGGAGCGTATCCTTCTTCCCCGCCGAATCGCGCGTTCGGGCAAGCGCCGGCGGCCAAGAGGTCGGCAACGATCTGTTCTTGCTCGTCTGAAACGGCCTCGAAGAGAGGTTCGCACTGACCGCCTTCGCGTACATCTTTGAATTTTGGGCCTTCTCCAGCGAAAACGGGCTCTCGGGCGGCTTGTTCGCGTTTTCCCGCTAGCGGTGACATGTTCAAGCGGAGCCCTCAGCCAGCCCTCGCGGTTCTCAGGCGTCGGGCGAGGTAGCATACAAAGATCTCATGCTCCCAAACAAACCTCCCAAACCTCAGAAGATTGCTGTGCTGCAACTTTTTTAGGCGACGTTCATCACAATCCCGAGCTCTAGAGAATACCTGTGCAGGAAAGAAAGCACGGCGTGACAAAAGGTGGCTGTGCTACACACTCCTGGTTACTGAACAGAGTCGTGGGATGTCAACTGGGAGCGGAAGATATACTGCTGTGGTACGAAGTAGGCTCGCTTCAGGGGATGTTTGGGTTCGGTCCCCGCTTTGCGGCGGAATTGGCATAAACGTGTGGACGTACGTGTAGGATGTTGTGCAGCAGCAGCAGCAGAGCAGCAGCGCTGCCGCTCATGAATTCAGTAGAGAGAGTCTACCAGGGCAAGGAGCAGAAGGCGAGCTTGAGTGTCCGGTTGCCAGTGCGTTGACAGATTTCGAAGCGGTGGTTGGTTCCAGCAAGTGAGTGCAAGAGTTCGGTCGAATAGCAGCAGTGTTGATCGGCTCCAGTTGAGTACAGCAGCGAGCAGAGCTTCCTCTTCAAAGCACCATCTATCATCCTCGGTCTTTGAGTCTTTGATCTATTATCTTCGGCGACAACCGTCCGAGACATAGAGCAAACTACTGACAAGAACCTCGAACCTAGCACAAGAACCGTTAGCGTCGAGCCAGATCGCTCTGCATTGGATTGGTTGATCGGGTCATCAGCAGAACCTGGATACCAAGTATAACATTGGCGTCTCGGCGCTTGGGTGTGCGGTTGCTTCTTGCGTCTTTGAGTTTTGCAGCAGTATTTTAAGCATGGCCATGCGTACTCGCAGCAAGACGATTGGTTCGCTTCGTGGTACTCGTAGCGCGCCTGCCTCGCGTTCGGGGTCGCCCTCCCCTGCTCGCGTGCCCTTTGGCCGCCTCCCTTCCACCTCGCTTGTCGTTCCCTCTGGCGGCGAGCTTTCTGGCGCCTCGGCTGCTGGGCTTCCTGCCGGATCTTCCGCCGGCGATCTTCAGGACCCTACCACCGTCCAGCTCGGCGCTGCCGCCGCTGCGCTGGGGGTCACGGCTCACCCAGGGGCTGTGCGTGGCCTCCTCAGCGACGGCGACGATGAACAAGACGGCGACAGCGTCGCCTCCGTCGACGCGGACCTCTTCCGGACCGAGGAGGAACTTCGCCAGTTCCGCGAAGACGCGTCCCTTGCGGCCGCGGTTGAGGGCAGCCTCCACCTCTCCGACGACCCCCCACGGCTGGGGTCGCCGGCCGCCGTGGCCAACGCTCACGCCGACGCGCTGTGCGCCCGCGAGGGCTTCGCCGCGGTGTCGCATGACGCCAGGGCGGCCGATGTAGCGGCGCGCCGCCGCCGTGCGGCCGCGGCAGCCGACTTGGCCTTGCAGCGTGAGATAGCGGAACAAGCCGCCGCCGCCGCTGCTTCTGCCGTCAGCCGCCTACGGCTCCTGGAACGCCGCGCTTCCGACACGGGCGAGGAGGTGGATCTGGTCCGCGGTTCCGGGGCGCTTCGCATGGAGACGGCGCGAGAGGACGTTCGGAACAGCGCGGACGCTCGTCGCATCGCCGAGCGCTCGCTGTCGCCTACGCTCGCCGGCTCTTCCCGGCTGCCCCTACACGCGCCTTCGTATTCTGAGATTGTACGTGGATCGTCTTCAAGCTCTTCGGAACGCGAGAGCGGGAGCCCCGGGCGCCCCGGGCGGCAGGCCGGCCGCGCCACCTCGCTCACGCCGCCGGCCCCGGCCTCCTCCCCACCCATCCCGGTGGCGCTGCCAGCGCAGGCCAGGGCTGGGGGCGAGGGCGCTGCACCCCGTTCTTCGCCTTCTGCATCGGCTGACGTGGCGTCGGGGATTTCGCGCTCTTCTCGGGCGGGGAACTCTTCGGCTGCATCGACCCATGATCTCCCGCCCCCCGCTTCTCCGAGGGCGGGCTACCGCCGTATGGGCACCGCCGCATCGGTGACCGCTGCCGCCGCCGCCGCCGCCCCGCCTGCGGCGACGCCCGCGGCCGCTGCCCCTGCTGCGGCGGCGGCGCGGCGGCGAACGGGCTTTATCACCACGCACCACGCTTCACCAGCTTCAGCAGCGCCGGCTCTGGAGGCGGTGGGGAAACGGCGGGGAGGAGCTGTACTTCGCCGCCACACTCCGCCGCCGCTCCGCCAACCGGCGTCGGGGTCCTCGGCCCCTCCGCCGGCCAGCCCCCCTCGGGGCGGCGCTCCCCGGGCGAGGGAACCGCCGGCCGACACGCGGCGGGCTGGCGTGGTGATTCGTCGTCACGATCCTCCGCCGGCTGTCGCGCGGCGGGGGAGTGTTGTGATTCGCCATCACGACTCCGGTGCCCGACGAGCTTCGACTTCTTCACGGAAATCCGGTGCCTTCTCTTCGTGGCTCGGCGTCGCGGCCGTCGTCGGAGACCGAGCCAAGGGCGGCGCCGCCGCGTGCACACCAGCCTCGCGAGAACCCTCGGGAGCCGTCGACGTCGCGGGATCAATACGTGCGCCGACACACTTCGGTGCCCGCGCTCGACTTCGCCGCAGAAGAGGCGCGGCTTCACCGCGGTGGAACGGTCGCCTCGGGTCGGCCACAGCAACCCCGCGGGCGGCACTGGTCCGACAATCTCCATGTTCCGCGTGACACCCTCTCCGGTGAGATCGGCAGGAGGACGCTGCTGGACGAGCAGCTGGGTATTAGACTTCACGACGCGGAACGAGCGTGTGCCGGGTCGGGATGGACGGACCCAGAGTTGGGGGACGACTACACGCAGGCCCGCTCGGACTTCAGCGACAACCGCCGCCGCTTGGGGGAGCTCGAAGACGCCTGCGATCGGCGTGAAGGCCGAGCGCACGCGTGGGGTCCTCCTCGCGATTGGGAAATGCTGCGGGCGGTGGAAGCGGCAGCGGCGGCCGACCGCCGGGAGCCGCCGTCGCCGGGCCGCGACGGTCAGCGTGCGCGCCACCGCCGAACTAACAAACGCTCGCGGCGGCAGCACAACCGCTCCTGCCGCGAGAGTTCTCCCTCTTCTTCGTGGTCGTCGGACGGCTCGGGAGACGATAGGGATGAATGGGGGGCGCCGTGGCGCCGGTCGGCGCCGGCGGAACGAGAGGCCGTCCATCACGTGCTGGCCTCAAGTTCTCGCCGGCAGGGCGCCGCGAGTGGTGGAGGGAAGCAGAGCACGTGGTCGGCGGGGGGAGGAGACCGCGGGACTCGGCGTTCGGGGGAGGACGAGAGGGAGCGTCGACACAGCCGAGCGTCGTCTTCGAGAGGCTCGGAGGCTGGTGGATCTTCCCGGGCTTCGAGACTAACCCGTGTGCCGTGTTCTTTGTCCCCCAGCTCACGATCCCCTTCCCCACCCCCTCACAATCCGAAGGTAGCCTCTAAGCTCATGGCACTCAATGTGCACCGCATGTTTCAGCAGTATGTGCGACCACGCCTGCCGTTGCCTGCCGGCAACACGTGGACGGCCCTAGTTACGTTGGTAGGTCGGCTACGCCATGTAGTCAGGCAAGGCCGACAGGCTTGTGGCGATTTCCACGCCACCGCGTGGGCTCTAGAGTGGACGTCGCTCGCTCAACAACTTCTAGTGAGTTGTGTAGCGGCAGAAAGTGGGGAAGGGCCGGTAAACAAAATTTTGTCCATCGGCCGGGACCTCGACGGCACAATCCGAGCTAGAAAGCCCAACGCCCCACAAGGGTTTGTCGAGCTTGTCAGCCAACTTACGAAGCGGTGCACGAGCTTCCAGGTCAATTCCATCCCGATCATGTTGGCACAATTCTCCGTTCCGATCCACACACCTCTGCAAGATTGGATAGTCCAACTAAAAGAACTTGTAGAAGGGTTGTCTTGTTTCAGGGACTCGTGCCCGACAGACGCACAAATCGTCTCAACCGCCATTGAAGGTCTGGCCGTGCAGTACCCAGAGATATCCCTTTGCGTGAAACCCAAACTTAAGAAAGCGGTGACGCTGGCGGACATGTGGAAGTGCATTCGGGATGACGAGATAGACGGAAGTAACGCCGTAGCCAACGCACCCCCTGCGTTAGGAACGGTGTCCGCCAGATCAACACATTCTCACCAACCAAGGGTTCACGCGGTAGCGCGGGGTCGCTCGGTTGAAACGTTGGCCCATGGGCGCGAGTTTGAACTAAGCAGTGACGAGGAAGGATACCAACGCACATCTCGGCACCTGTACCCCGTGGTCGGTAAGGGATCAGACAAATGTCGTCGAGGTCCCGGCCGATGGACAAAATTTTGTTTACCGGCCCTTCCCCACTTTCTGCCGCTACACAACTCACTAGAAGTTGTTGAGCGAGCGACGTCCACTCTAGAGCCCACGCGGTGGCGTGGAAATCGCCACAAGCCTGTCGGCCTTGCCTGACTACATGGCGTAGCCGACCTACCAACGTAACTAGGGCCGTCCACGTGTTGCCGGCAGGCAACGGCAGGCGTGGTCGCACATACTGCTGAAACATGCGGTGCACATTGAGTGCCATGAGCTTAGAGGCTACCTTCGGATTGTGAGGGGGTGGGGAAG